ATATGTTACGTATAATCATCAAATACAACATATATTTAAATATTAAGACTGAACACAAGTGCGGCCACTTCCATTTTAGACAAAACCCGTCTAAAAATTATCACAAATGCTAAGATTGTGAAGATTCAGTAATGTTGCATGCATTAATGATGCTAGTACCTGATGCATGTGCATTGTATTGTCATAAAACAGCCCACATTTATGTAATAAAAGTATTCTACTTTCCAATAAATGAATAAATAAATAGCTAAACATTTTTTTTTTACAAAATTTTAAAATTTCATATTTTAGGGCCAAAAAAGGGTCTTACCGAGTCTACTCCTTTCAGAAACTAGAATCAGCACAGTGCATGGTTAGTGAGTAGAACAATTTAGAAAATACGGGAAAATGATAATAGAAGCATCAGTCACTGTCTTACAAGAACAATAAGACTGATCTAAAGTCAAATTTGTCAAAGATTAAAACCTTGTTTTTAGTATCAAAATACAATACATAATTTGAGTTTAACGGTTGAATCGAAAAATATGTTGTCATCGCAAAAACATGCCACCAAATCTTGTGTTTGCGAGTGAACTACATAACATCCACTGGATGATAAAGGTATTAGGTATTAACAAATCACTTGGAAACTCAACATATACCCCTCGACACTTTCCAAAGCGGAAAATTTGCGGTCTGTTTTATGTTCCTTTGGAATTAAAACTACTTAAATGAGCAACTCGACGGGTGTCACACAGAGCAGGATTTGTTCAAATTCAATCAGGATGTTGACTTTTTTCACTTTTGCTATTCATGTGACATAATATACATGTATACCATACCGTATTTGCACATAATTAAAGGCCGTGTGAATTGTGATTGTTTACATCCCATTTTGTAATACGGCGGATACTTGTATCATTTAAATCCCACCACATTCCCTATTTGTATTTATCCTGCAATTGACCTTTCTACTATACTAATACAGGTGTATAGGTTACACGAAGCGATATACGTATACTAGACGTATATAGTCTCCTGGTATCCTGTTTCTGTTGCGAGCGAACGGTTATGTCAAATTACTGTTTACGTCACAGTTCAATTTGGGGTCCTCATTGCGGTCCGCGTTTAAGTCATGTCGATTTCTTTCAAAAACAAATTCAACGATTGGGATGGAAAAAAAATGTACATACTTCTTTTTCATTAACATTCTAGAGAATCGTACTTCTTTTTCATTGACATTCGAGAGAATCATACTTCTTTTTACATTGACCTTCGAAAGAATCATACTTCTTTTTCATTGACATTCGAGAGAATTATACTTCTTTTTCATTGACATTCGAGAGAATCATACTTCTTTTTCATTAACATTAGGGAGAACCATACTTCTTTTTCATTAACATTCGAGAGAATCATACTTCTTTTTCATTAACATTCGAGAGAATTATACTTTTTTTCCATTAACATTCGAGAGAATCATACTTCTTTTTCATTGACATTCGAGAAAATCATTCTTTTACATTGACATTCTAGAGAATTATACTTCTTTTTCATTGACATTCGATAGAATCATACTTCTTTTTCATTGACATTTGAGAGAATCATACTTCTTTTTCATTAACATTCGAGAGAATCATACTTCTTTTTCATTAACATTCAAAAGAATCATACTTCTTTTTCATTGACATTCGAGAGAATCATACTTCTTTTTCATTGACATTCTAGAGAATTATACTTCTTTCTCTTTAACATTCGAGAGAATCATACTTCTTTTTCATTGACATTCTAGAGAATCATACTTCTTTTCATTGACATTCTAGAGAATTATACTTCTTTCTCTTTAACATTCGAGAGAATCATACTTCTTTTTCATTGACATTCTAGAGAATCATACTTCTTTTCATTGACATTCTAGAGAATTATACTTCTTTTTCATTAACATTCGAGAGAATCATACTTCTTTTTCATTGACATTCGAGAAAATCATTCTTTTACATTGACATTCTAGAGAATTATACTTTTTTTTCATTAACATTCGATAGAATCATACTTCTTTTTCATTGACATTTGAGAGAATCATACTTCTTTTTCATTAACATTCCAGAGAATCATACTTCTTTTTCATTAACATTCAAAAGAATCATACTTCTTTTTCGTTAACATTCGAGAGAATCATACTTCTTTTTCATTGACATTCTAGAGAATTATACTTCTTTCTCTTTAACATTCGAGAGAATCATACTTCTTTTTCATTGACATTCTAGAGAATCATACTTCTTTTCATTGACATTCTAGAGAATTATACTTCTTTTTCATTAACATTCGAGAGAATCATACTTCTTTTACATTGGCATTCTAGAGAATTATACTTCTTTTTCATTAACATTCGAGAAAACCATACTTCTTTTCCATTAACGTTCGAGAGAATCATTCTTTTACATTGACATTCTAGAGAATTATACTTCTTTTTCATTGACATTAGAGAAAATTATTCTTTTACATTGACTTTCTAGAGAATCATACTTCTTTTTCATTGACATTCGAGAAAATCATTCTTTTTCATTGACAGTCAACAGAATCATACTTCTTTTTAATTTTTGACATTCTAAGGAATGATATTTATTTTTCATTGACATTCCACAGAACTTTACTTGTGAATTTTTATAATTGTATAGAAATTAATTATTCATTATAGACTATCTAATGAGTCGAGCCTTTTCCAACTGCATTTTTACATTCCCTATTTGTATTTATCCTGCAATTGACCTTTCTACTATACTAATACAGGTGTATAGGTTACACGAAGCGATATACGTATACTAGACGTATATAGTTCCATGGTATCCTGTTTCTGTTGCGAGCGAACGGTTATGTCAAATACTGTTTACGTCACAGTTCAATTTGGGGTCCTCATTGCGGTCCGCGTTTAAGTCATGTCGATTTCTTTCAAAAACAAATTCAACGATTGGGATGGGAAAAAAAATGTACAAAATTAATTGCAGGATAAAGACAATAACTGTTTAGTGTCTTTAAATATCAGCTGTATTTGTACTGGGCTCGAAACAGGAGTAATAGCTCGCTGAAGCTCGCATTACACCTGTTTCTTAGCCTCGTACAAATACAGCTGACATTTAAAGACACTAAACAGTATTGTCTATATACATGTACTTCTTTAACATTGACATTCGAGAGAACTATCATTTCTCTTTCATTGACATTCGAGAGAACCGTACTTCTTTTACATTGACATTCGAGAGAACTATCATTTCTCTTTCATTGACATTCGAGAGAACCATACTTCTTTTACATTGACCTTTGAGAGAATCATACTTCTTACTCATTGACATTCGAGAGAACCATACTTCTTTTACATTGACCTTCGAGAGAATTATACTTCTTTTTCATTGACATTCGAGAGAATCATACTTTTTTTTCATTAACATTCGGGAGAATCATACTTCTTTTTCATTAACATTCGAGAGAATCATACTTCTTTTTACATTGACCTTCGAAAGAATCATACTTCTTTTCATTGACATTCGAGAGAATTATACTTCTTTTTCATTGACATTCGAGAGAATCATACTTCTTTTTCATTAACATTCGGGAGAATCATACTTCTTTTATATTAACATTCGAGAGAATCATACTTCTTTTTCATTAACATTCGAGAGAATTATACTTTTTTTCCATTAACATTCGAGAGAATCATACTTCTTTTTCATTGACATTCGAGAAAATCATTCTTTTACATTGACATTCTAGAGAATTATACTTCTTTTTCATTGACATTCGATAGAATCATACTTCTTTTTCATTGACATTTGAGAGAATCATACTTCTTTTTCATTAACATTCGAGAGAATCATACTTCTTTTTCATTAACATTCGAGAGAATCATACTTCTTTTTCATTGACATTCGAGAGAACTATACTTCTTTCTCTTTAACATTCGAGAGAATCATACTTCTTTTTCATTAACATTCGAGAGAATCATACTTCTTTTTCATTGACATTCTAGAGAATTATACTTCTTTCTCTTTAACATTCGAGAGAATCATACTTCTTTTTCATTGACATTCTAGAGAATCATACTTCTTTTCATTGACATTCTAGAGAATTATACCTATTTCATTAACATTCGAGAGAATCATACTTCTTTTACATTGACATTCTAGAGCATTATACTTCTTTTTCATTACCATTCGAGAAAACCATACTTCTTTTCCATTAACATTCGAGAGAATCATTCTTTTACATTGACATTCTAGAGAATTATACTTCTTTTTCATTGACATTCGAGAAAATTATTCTTTTACGTTGACATTCTAGAGAATCATACTTCTTTTTCATTGAAATTCGAGAAAATCATTCTTTTTCATTGACAGTCAACAGAATCATACTTCTTTTCAATTTTTGACATTCTAAGGAATGATACTTATTTTTCATTGACATTCCACAGAACTCTACTTGTGAATTTTTATAATTGTATAGAAATTAATTATTCATTATTGACTATCTAATGAGTCGAGCCTTTTCCAACTGCATTTTTACAGTTTACTGTGCTGTTATATCACTGTCCCGATTAGTGGAGGGAAGAGCGTTCACAAACTTGTTTACCCCGCCACATTGTCAATGTGCCGGTCCCAAGTCAGGAGCCTGTAATTCAGTGTTTGTCGTTGGTTGCTGCCTTTAATTTTTGTTTTTCGTTTTTTTATAAATCAGGTCATTGGTTTTTTCGTTTGAATTATTTCGCATTCTATCATGTCGGGGCTTTTTATAATCGACTATTAGTATATGGAATGGGTTTTGTTCATTGTTGAAGGCCGTACAGCCGTACGGTGGTCAATAGTTGCTTAAATCCGCTATATTTGGACTCCGTTTGATAGTTGTCTCATTGGCAACATACCTCATCTCCTTAATAAAAGCCCTTATTTTCTTTTGAGTCTTTTAAAAACTGATTCAGGCGAAGTTGATGTACATTAACACCGATTGTAATTGAATAACACAGAACATGCTAATCAAGTCATTGCACTTTTATTTTTTCACTTTGTAAAAATAAATATAACACAATTAGTCCCACTATGAAATAACGCATCAATACAAAAAAAGTCTGTGTCAAATGGAAACCATATCCCACCATGAAGCGTTATCATAAAAATGTATTACACATCTATTTCATGTTAAACTACTGACTTTTAAACCTAAAGGTGGGAGCATAATATCAAGGTCATACCATTCCTTCAATGAACATAGATCATGAAAACAACTCAAACATTAATCTGATAAATCAATCAAAAGATGTTTCTTCAATAGATATTGTAAAATATATTTGTTGAAACAATTTGAAGCTGTTCTGAGCACGTTTGCCGTGCTCACCCAAACTGCAAACTTTCTATTGTAACTAGCAGTTGATATATTTTTATAAAATCGATATGTGGAAAACCTTATAATCGACATATAGTGTCTACGAGCTTTAAAAATCAATAACCATTCAATTAACCTTGAAATATGTGGTTAATTTGCATTTTGATATCAATCAAGTCTTTACAGCAGTTAAAACCGGAGACATAAGCAAAACTTAACTATGGAATCGATGTTATATCAGTCTTTGGACCCAAATTTTGAATATTTCTTTTCTTGATCTATAATGTTTTTAAGTAGCACTGTGTTTTCTCTCAAATCTGTTTTTAAACTCTGAAAGATAACAAACAATTAAGCCGATGATCTATGAAATCGAATAACCCCTCCGTCAGACTTATACTTTTACAAACTATTCTAGCAACTTTGCGATAGCTTTGTGTGCTTTAATAAGTTTATCGTAAATAATCATTGAACTATAAAAACGAGATAACACAATCCTTTAAACTTTCTATGTTGGAAAACTATTCTCTGGAGTAGTTTCATTGTGCTCTCCATATCAAACTATCTATACCTTAAACTTAAATCAAATATTCTAACATGAAACAGACTTGTAAATGGACGGATGCGCAAATAGACGCAATACATGCATACTGCTTGACATGATGGGGCATTTAATATTATGTGGATTCATTTATTTTCTAGAGTACCAATTTTCGTGCATTGAGGAAACATTTTCGTGAATATTCGATTTCGTAGTTTTTCAAAAGTCTTTATAAAAGCCTATAGAAAATTTGTAATTTGTTGAAAATTTTAATTTGTGGTTCACCTGTTTCAACGAAATCCTTAAAATTTGGTATCCCACGAATAACGAATCCATAGTAATATCTACTTTAATTTTCCCAACCAATGAAAATTGACAGTACTTGTCCGATGTTGCTTTGATTTCTTTTCTGTATAGTTAAAAAGGAAAGGAACACGTTTTTTGTGGTCGGATGATTCAATGATATTATGATTGTTTGTCACATTGCACTGGGTCTGACTTGATGATGATGTACATGATGACACAGTCATTTTACTGTCTAAAGTGTCTCTATCTGATTCGAAATTAAAATCATTGACATCACTTACTAAAGAATTAGAACCTCTACCGTAATCTTCTTTCTCGGTTTTGATATTACAAATGGTGGTATCCACGGTATTTATAGAACCACCCTTATCTGCATATGTTTTGTTTACATCTATACTAAGCGGAGAATACACGCTCTCAACATCACTTAAAGCTATATTCATTTTCTCTGAATATCCACTGTCTGTATCACTTAAAAATTTACCCCGAGGAGAAAATGAATAACTGTAACTTTCTCGTGGTGAATTAACAACACTACTGGATTCAATTGAGGAACCGACACTTTTTATATGAGATGAATAAGGATCACTCTCCATATAAGGATGTGAAAAGACTTGGTCATTTCGTGGAGAAAGAATTAACATCTCTTTTTCATTTGAAGAACAATTGCTAACAAAATCCCGTTGTTCAATTTTTTGATCAATAGAAGTATGTACAGGAGAACCATTTTCTATTAAATGATCACTGTTTTTTGGAAGTTTATTTTCAATGCCATATCCTTCGTCATCAGGGTCTCGTTTAATTCTTTTTAATGGTATCATTCCATTGTCATGTTCTTGTAAGAAGGAAGCATCTTCAATATATCGAGTTTCTTTACATACCGAAGCGGACACTTTACCAATTCTTTTATCAATCTCCTTCGATACATCACGGGCAAGAATTTTATTTTTCTCAAAGTGCATTAAAATGTGGTCTTCTAACTCCTTCTCTATTACAAACTTTTTATCGCATATATCACATTGGTGTTCTGTAGAAGAGTCAGTATTAATACGTTTATCTACTTCGTTTGCCAACTGGACTGTTTCATTAAAGTGATATTCGGGTATGTGAGAATCACGTACAGGAATATAGGTTCTGCCATCCTTTTCGGATTCCGATGTATCACAAGCAGAACTGGTCATATGATCATTTTTTACATGTTCTTCTAGTTGCTTCAGCTGAGAAAAAGATTTACCACATGCTTGACAACAACAAGTTGTAAGATTTGAATGAATTAGAAGATGGTACTTTAAACGTTTAAATTTTGCAAACTTCTCACCACAAAATGAGCAATCATACATTATTTTCTTCCTTCTTAACTTGTTTATCGTTTCTTTTTCTGAATGCTTGAGAACATGTGATTGGAGATCTTTTACGGTTCTAAACGTGTCGCAACACAGGTCACATTCCAACACCTGACGATTCCCACTTTCTAGCATATCCTTAACATTGCTCATTTTTTTCTTTAAAATACAGGCATTTTCGTTTAAATGTATTTTTTCATGATCTGAGAGAATAGTTTTACATGGAAAAACTTCGCCACATATGCCACAGACATAAGGACCTCCCTTGGTGTTATTATACTGTTTAGAAAACGATTTACCACCACCATATTTAAGTTTGCAAACCGCACAAGTGCATGGTGAATCCCCTTGATGTCGAATCAAAGTTTTCGTCACGTTGTTTCCTGAAGAACAAGTTTTTCTTAATGTATGAGTTTCATGCAATTTCGAAATTGCAGGTAGGTGAGCTGTCAAATTTGAATTTAGCTGCACATGTTTATGAGTTGACTCGTGTTCCTTTAAATGTCTTTCGTGGTTAAATCCAGCCCCACATGCTTTACACTTGTAAGGATATATCCCTATATGAGTCAGAATATGTTGCTCCAGAAGGTTGTCAAACAAAAATTCTTCTCCGCAAACAACACACGTGTAAGGATTCTCCGATTCATGAGTTTGTATATGAGTATGTAATGATTTCTCCGTAAGAAATCTAGCATCACAAACATGGCACTGATGGATTTTTTTTTCTGCGTGTGTCTTCAGGTGTTCTGTTAGAAACACGTTATCAACAAACATTCTCCCACAAATACCACATTTATGTTCCGATTCTTCTAAAACATGTGTTTTCATATGTTCTTGTAGTTCATGTTTCCATTGAAATACTGATTTGCATATTTGACAAGTGTTTAAAACGAGGACGCTGTTGTGTTGCGTTTCAATGTGAACACTTAAGTAATGTTCTGACCAAAATCTTTGTCCACATCTTGGACACTGGTAATTTTTTTCTGAAGGATGTGTTCTGGAATGTCGTATCAGGATGTCATATGATCGAAACTTTTTATTACATACATCACATTTAAAAGATTTGTTGGCTGCTGGGTTAAATTTGATCGTACGTTTGAAGTAGGAAGAAAACTTGTCAGTTTCTCGGTAACTGTCATCGGAATCAGTACTATCTTCGTGATCGTGTTCTTCGCGATGAATTGTTTTAATTCTCTCCGGTTTTGATTCACAAAATTTACAGCTACATTGTTTCTTTATCTTAATATTCTTACATGTACCCAGATTATACAATGGTCCGGAATGTTTTGGTTGTATTCTTTCTAAACTCATATCAGAACCGTCAGAAAGTGTAAACGGTTCTTCTTTTATAAGAACAGGTATATCCTCATTACTGTTGTTGAGATTTTTGTTTGTGTAGTTCCTTGATTTGAATTCAATGTCGGATACATCACTTGTTTTAGAATCTTCGTCTGTATTACCTTTACTAAGTTTATTTGCTATTAACTCGTTGAATGTGTTTTCGTCCAGATCTTGTATTTTTGTTTTCATAGCTGTCTGAAGACCTGAAAAATAAAAACAGGTAGATCATTATATATATAACATGACTTAAATGTTAATCCAATCTTTTACTAACATGAATAGCAAGAAAACCATAGTAAGAAAAGTTGGTATAATTAAATGACTTCATTATCAAAATATTTAGACATATCAATCTCAAATTTTTAATATGAATTAAAAAAGAAGATTTGGTATGATTGCCAATGAGACAACTCTCAACAATAGACCAAATAGTTTTAAAAGGTTTATTTTGAACAGATTAAAATTAAAGTAAAATCAAATCAGTTGTGGTATTCAAACGATTGCAGGAAAGATATGTCATTTGGAAATAAACTCAGAACGTATAGACTTTTTTAAAGAGAAATATACGTTTTGAACCCTATTTGTATATAGCCAAATTCAGGTGACGAATTTAAAATAAGTAACTATAATCTTGAAATAGAGAGAGGTATAGATACAGAGGACTTCAGGCAACAGATATAATTTATAATCTTTGTAAAAAAGAAATTGAAGACGATCTCGACTTTCTAATTAAATGGTAAATTTGTTTATTTTAATGGTAAGAAGACACATTTTTCTCTAATGAATATATATGCATTTATAATTTAGATACATTTGTAGTTACAATTGTGTTTGTAATTATGTGTTTATGACAGCCCCAAGAAAAACAGTATTTTAATCCCGTTTTCTAAAATTTTAGAATCACTGTATTTGTCAATGTTAAAACATATATGTATATATATATATATATACATTATTGTGTCTTCTTTCTTTTTCTTCTCATTTTATTTATAAATCTAATTGCAACCAAATCAGTGTAATGATTGTAATCAATTACAGGCTGAATAATGAACAAGTAGACATATTTTCTATCTAGTCATTGTTTTAGTTATGGTCCATCGTGGTCACAATTTGAAGTTTTACCTACAAATAAGGGCCATTTTAGAGCCTTATCGAGCCTACTTGATTATTCTGCTTGTAATGGGTGTCTTAAGTTGACAATAAAATATTGAACTTAAACTTGAACTTGCAGTTTTCACGGCTGCTTTTGCAGTACAATTTTGTTAGAAACCTCATCCCGTAATTGATTATCCCTTTTACTGTTTCATTTAGTATTATACACGGGACTGGAAAGTTCAAAATGATCCTGCTTAAAATTTTAGAAGACAGTTTTTTACTTTATATTATTGTTAATTATAGCCCTGCCTCCAACACAGATGATAAATAGAAAAAAAATGTGAACTCAACATAAATAGTGACCTCAAGGTAAATAATCCTATTATTGTTCACTTTTGGCAACCGACACTTGAACAATCATTGAACCTTGCATACAGATACAAACTAACGACATTTTACACGTCTTTTTGGGGCCCTTTATAGCTTGCTGTTCGGTGTGAGCCAAGGCTCCGTGTTGAAGGCCGTACTTTGACCTATAATTGTTTACTTTTTACACATTGTGACTTGGATGGATAGTTGTCTCATTGGTACTCATACCACATCTTCTTATTTATATTGACATGCATTTGTTTACATCAAATCAATTATATAATATATCTTTACATTGTCTGTGAAGGAAATACAAAAATAATTGATACGCACAGTATAACGGTTACATTAAAGGGAGGTTAATGTTCTGAAGAAGAGGAAAAAAGAAGTATTCGTTTCTAGCTAGTTTAGTACATTCTTGAGGAATCATTGTCTAATTCATATAGCTAATGTCCCATTAAATATATTTAACACCAGTCATGCATCACAGATTTGTTTCTAGTAAATAGTGCGATGATCATCATTTAAAGAGTGCCAGAATGGTAGTATCCACGTTTTATAATAATCAATAACGATATTTAAGTAATAATTCAATGTATATACAAGTTAATGGGTAAATTGGTCCCGCCCTAGAAATATTCTTAAGAACTTTCAACAAATTTGGATTTTGAGTGAATCTTCCGTGTTTTTTTCTCTCCAAATTTTTGATATCGTCCTGGTTTTACAAATTAGTGGTTTCTTTGATTTAAATATATTTTTTATCATAACCATGCATACATATATATATCTAACGAATAACGGAAAATATAGCAAATTTGTAAAACTCGAAGCACTATTCAGGTTTTGTTTGTCGCTATTTTTTTTCCCGTGAACCCTTTATATATTGGCGAGTTTTGGAAGTGTCTATGGGCCACTCAATATCCTCGGAACGTTTCGAAAATTTTCCATCATTTATACAGGTAGTTATTTATGTCTTTGATACGGTTCCTCTTATGGATAGGCTTCAACGTGACAATGTATATTTCAACAATCCGGCAAACGGTTCATTTGTAGATTTGAAACCAAGGAATAGTTTATTGATATACAATGACCCAGAATAAACTGATTATTTCTGAACGTTTATCATTTGATATTTAGTTTTTCAATCATAGCATGAGAAAATGTCGGAAAGAATAAAGAAAATTAAGAAAACGATATTTCTGTTAAAATATTCATCCAAGGTCGGACACACAGTGGTCGGAAAGCAGAAAGATAATCAAAAAAAAGGTTTTTCTGTAAAAATATCTAATTTCATTTATAGATACTACCAGACTAAGAGAATATTCATCGTTAAGGTAAAACTGAGACTGAATCTATTCCTAATAATTATAGAATATAATTAAAATTGTAATGTATACGTGCATTATGTCTCACAGGTTTGATCAGTGATTACATTTATGAAAATTATATGTAACGTATGAGCACTAATGAGCAGGGATGCGTACTCAAAGTTAGCTGAATATCTAAATTTTAAACGGTCATGAATGAAAAAATACTTGCGTGGTTTCAATTCACAAGGATTTTAAATCCTCGCATCTCACAAAAAACGTAATTAATATTTTACAATAATCATAACAAAATTTAATTACTATCATAATGTTATTTTTTTGTTCTTTTATTAGTTCAACCTTATAGAATCTAAATATTTGTACTATGGTACGGTTTTGGAAATAATTGTATTCATTGTGTTGGTCAGCTATCCTACACGTCTTGATTCATTCACATTATACATCACCCTATTCACACGCACACTTTCTGTTTGCGTTCACAAAAATTCCGGATAAAATGTCAATGAATCCGGAGTCAAAACACTTGAGGTAGGTAGTTTGACATCCGAATTCAACTATTAGATTAATATATGCGATGACGCAAATGCGTATTCTTATCCAGAGTATTAGTGCGTATGCTTTCAATTTACTATTTCTTGCGCCAAAATACCACGTTCATGCATAAATATTAATTTCACTCGCGAATGCGAATTTTCGCTTTTCTTATCTAAATTCAGGATACGGCAATAAGAGATTGCCATGTGACTTTCAAGCACGGTCATCATTGCTTATGGTATTCTGACCTCTAGCTGTTTTTCTTTTGTTTTCTTTTTTGAGTCACTATCCTTTTATAAACTTTGACATTTTCGAAATGCCAAGAATTTTCTACCCAAGGAATAGATTACTTAACTTCGTACTTAATTTGGCCTTTTAACTACTTTTATTCGAGCGTCACTGATGATTCTTTGTAGACTTAACTCGCGTCTGACGTAAAACATGTTGTCTCATTGGCACTCATACCACATCTTCTCATATCTAATCCTGGTATCTTTTTATATCTACATGTCTTTTTATATAAATTGGTTCTTTTGAGAGTATGTTCAGGTATTCATAAAACTTCTGAAAATAAGATATTCTTCAAAACCATGTTTCCCTATAGAATATTTGGATTGATTTAAGTAAAATCAGGAAATCCTTAAAATTTGAGATGTTTTATGAGACCAAAATAAGTCTGTGTATAAGAGGTCCAAATGAAGCTGGTGTGTTACTCTCGAGAAAAATATACGAAACCTTCTTATAAGTTGCATGCCACAGGGTTTCACTTAACATGGAAAATGGACTTTAAATTTATCTGTACAACATCTACCATGAGTACAGACAACTTCAATAACGAGTGGAGAATATGAAGGCATCCATGAAGGAAACAAAATATAAAGATGTGACAGATGAAATAAATGCATCCAGATTATAAAGCAAACTGAGTGCTTAAATTTATATTGCGATTGGTTTGTGCAATTTGTATTATACATCCGGTTTGTAGAAACTGGGATTTCCAATAGGATTATAAAAAAATGATGTACAATTCCAAGTAATAAATGAAATAGTCGAGCTTTAAAATGTATATTCAAATAGTAGCTGTATATAAACTTTTCTTTTCACACCTATCCAACATTGCTTTCAACTGACTTGTGCAAGAATGTACACACTATTATACATATTTTTAATAAAGGTAGTTTAACTTCATCATTATCTTCTATTCACAGTCAATTATTTCAATTCAAAAGCAAACAAAAAATTCAGCAACAATCTTTTGGTGACCAGTCAGCGGTCTTAGGTTCACGTGTTGCTTTTCTTTTTTAAAGAGAGCAACTTGTTTCCGAATGTATCATATATTAATCAATTAAAAGTCTTCCTTATAAAAAAAACCTTTTAGACACGCCTTTTATTATGGAAAACCAGTCGAGAAGTCGATTTATTTTGTTGGAACAAAAGAACGATCTATAATTCCTGGTCGCCATTGAATTGAGAATCGACAAGTTAAAAAAGTATTAATACCGTTTCATGTTATTGCCGATGATATTTTTCAATAAAGTATTACACACGTACTTACATGGCAGCATTTTTAGTCAGAAATTCGTTTTAAATCCTTTAGAAACATGCATGCAGTGTATAATGGGTAAAATATTAATTCATGAAGTTCGGTTCCAGTGAACCATATCGAACAGGTTTAGATTTTACTACATCATGTACATGTTTAACTATACTGTTTGTACTATAAAATCCTTCTATTGATCATACTACTATATCACGATTTCCTTTTAACACTCGGGTAGTACGACATTTTACGCAACGCTAAGCAATTAGTCGGTAAACATTGGTGTATTTGTACCAAGGATAGCGATTAAGGTTGTCAATACAATACAATACTTTGT